CTTCTCCGGGGCTCATGCCACACACAGCCTGCACCTTTCACCCTACCCTTCAGATGGGTCACGCCCTTGGGTGGTAACTGGGCCCTTGGGTCAGTCTCCTTTGCCCAAATAAGGGCACGAGCTCCCTCCAGAGAGCAAGTGTATCCCCTCCCCCACCTCCCCTCACTGCCCTCTGCAGGCCTGGGCAGAGCAGTCCCTCTGAAGTCCCTCTGAAGACTGGAGGTCTGCTCTCTGTAAGAGGAGCTCCGCGCAGGCTGCAGCTCAGTTTTCACCTCTGTCTCAACATAACCTTGGAGAACCAGCTGCTTCTCTCCCTCATCGTCCGGAGTCTAGGCCATCACCTGGCTCTCTGGCAATCTAACACCCTCTGCATCCTCCTTCACACTTCTCAAGACTACTGCCCCATCGCTGACCACCACATCCACCATGGAGTGCTCCGATTTATCATGTGTGGAGCTCCTCAGGCCCGGAAGACATTTAACCATATGTTGCCCTTTGCTGTTCTGGGGCACTGTTATGACTTTGGTCTCCTACCTAGATAGTGGGTTCTTCATAGGCCTTGTCCTTTCTCTGCTGATTCAGTAGGAGATCAGAAGAGCTGGATGGCTGCATGTGCTTGCTCAGGGCCAGGCTCTCACCCCCAGCCTGGATTCCCGTCTGGAAGAATTTCTGCCTGGGGCCATGGGGCTCCCCATCCTTGGGTCCCAGATAAATCAATATAGTATTGGTCTCCCCCACCCCACCCCCCAGCCACTGGTGTCTATAAACTCCATCCTAAGCACCTACAGGGTGCTGATCTGTGTTTGGGTGGGGTTGGAGAGGACAAGGAGGAGACAGATTACGGGGTCTCTGTCCTCCTCGAGTTCACAGTCTACATGGGAAGAGGAGATTCAAAAGCAGGAAAGCCAGAGCAGGTTTGAGGGTGGGTAGCCATGGCCAGGGCTGTGCCTTGGGGCTCAGTTGGTGCCACAGGGAGAGAAGCTGAGCACAAAGCAGGTTTCCTCCCCAAAAAGAAGGCGAGGAGGAGCATAAGGAAGCAAGTGACAGGGGGCAATGGCAAGGCCTGAATACCTAACCCCTGATCCAAGATCCCCACACATGGGTCTCCCTGACACCCCTAAAGATGCATCAGCTGCAAACCGTAACCCCAAACCCAGAGAGAAGATGCGAAGCAATAGTTCCCGGCTCCCTCTTCCGTTTGTTGGCCTTTGTGGATGGAATAATTGTGGCTATGAAGTGGCACTTGGAGAAAAAGTTTTAAATCTGTTTAAATGTCACAGTGAGTAACACTTTGCCCCCATCTCTCTCTAATTACATTTCTCTTTGATGATCTAAGACAAAAAAAAAAAATTTAACTCAAGTCTTCCTAGAATATCAAGGGCAAGAATACCAAAGAGTCAACCTAACCATACTCCATGCTATTTTCTCAGGGGTCCTGCTCCTGAATGGCATTAGTCTGAGACACCTGTCTGTGTTATTTTATCCCCAACACTCTGGCTGTGGCAAAGAGGTAAGAGCCTCAGCAATGCAGCTCTGTACCTTTAAGAGATCAAAGCCTTGGCTAGGCTGCTTCTGCTGCTGTTTACACAAGGTAGCTCAGTTATGAGGGGGCCTAGTGTCCTGGCTGCTTCTGCCCCAGCAAGCTGGGGGAGAGGTGGCATTTCACTATACACCTGCCAGAAAGCTGAGCAGTGTAGCCCAAATCTAAAATCAGCCATCATCAGGTGGGAGAGATGGAAGGGTGATTCTTCCCCTAAGGGACAAGGAGCTCTCTGGGCAGCTGTGGGTCCACATAGTGGAGATACACAGGGAGGGGCCTTGGTGCACGGTGCAGAGGAGCAGCCCTGGACGGAGCTGACACTGTATGGAGAAGTTTTTGCATGGATGCCCCTTTCCTTAACAACCCCAATTCCCCCACTCACTCCTGCCCAGGGACTGCTTTCATTTATGTATTGACTATTATTATTAATAATAATATGAATAATTAAACACTTGTGGATAATTTACTGGGATCTGGGAGCGGCTGGAGGGGTGGCAGGAACCAGTGGGGGGTGGACCTCAGCTGCCTTCCACTGCCCAGTCCCCTCTTGTCCCTACTCACCTGGCTCACTCCCTTCACTTTCCTTTGTCGCCACTTAAGGGGGGGCGGGAGGGAGGGGTTGGAAGGGGAGGACATGATGGGGGAGTAGGCAGAGAGAAAGACCTCAGGTAGGAATTACCCTTTTAAACTCCCCGGTTATGGCAGAAAATACATTCCTCTCAGCTGTGATATCCTGGGAGCCGAGCACCAGGGCCACAGGATGATATTTGAGGAGGTATTTCGGACAAAGTTACTGGCCTCTGCTGATGTGTGCTGGTGGGGTCTCGGTAGATGGGCACTTGCGCGCGTGCACGCGCGCGCGCGCGCACGCACTTGCACACACAAAGAAGAATGTGGATACAGACAAGGTCTGTGCACATCCACACTGCGTTCATCCAAGCTCCCACAGTCTAGGTGAGACATACACACCTCCGATCCACACATGCAAGCCTCCCTTGTGCTTACCAGGGGCATGCCCCCCTTATTACAGCACTTCACAGGCACGCCAACCACACACCACATGCAGACGGGCTCTAGGTGGAGTTCCTGTTCGATTCCATCAACTTGGGTGATTCTTAGACCGTCATGTAATACTGGATAATGTAAGCTCATGAAACCGAGTTATGAATCAATTATACTTACACATGACTGCATCAAGTCAAGGCAGGAGAAGCTAAAATGAAAGGATGAAGTTCCGCAGTTCCCAGAATTGTACTTGCTGTTTGGTTTGGGCCCCGGATCCTCGGGGAGTGGCCTCCCGGGTGGACTCAGGCCTGGGGCTGCGAACCTTGGGGCCTCGGGCCTTCTCCGCGCTGCCTCCGCCAGGAGAGCTCCCCGTTGTGATTTTACCAAACGGGCTTAGCCTGGGTTTTCAGGCACCTGGGGTCCCGTTTCTTTAAATAAAATTTTAAACATCGTCTAGTAACGTAATGTAATCCGGGGACAAGAAAAGAGAAACCCTTAACACCAGAAAGTGGCATGCGGGGCCCAGCCAGGGTGGGCCAGCACCTCCACCCGACCACGCCGGCTCCCAGCCGGGCAGACCGCGGGGGAGCGGGCGCGTTATTTTAATTTGCCGGGGCTTCTGAAGCCGAGAAGAGGTCGCCCTGGAAAAGCAAATGTGGGAAAGGCTGAGATGGAAGGAAATGCCATTAAAGTGAAAATTGACTTCCCCACCCCAAGTTCCCCATCAGCCTTCGCCAGCTCCCGCGCCGGCCACTCCCTCTCCCGCGCTGCGATGCTTCGGCCCCGGCGGGCCTTGCAGGGACCCCGGCGGAGTCTGAGCGAGGCTGCGGGACCCTGGGCTCTCGCCAGCCGACACGATTCCCCGCCTTGCACTTCTGGGGCCGGGGGCGCCGCCAACGCACCCCGCCGGGGACAGCGCAAGCCGCGCGAGTCCGGGTCCGACCGCAGCCCGGATCGAGATTCGGGGATCTTTATTTCTTGGGTGGTGGATTAAGAAGGAAAAAAAAAATCAGTTTTAACTAGTAAAGCAAAAACAAGCCGGTCTCCCGCGCTGGCTCTCCAACCACAGCGCCCAGCGCCTTCCTCCCTCCCCGGCGGGCGCGGC